TAAGTTTCGAGAGAGATATAGAATGCAGCCACATTTGTTCCAAAAAATCATGCATGATATTTGTAATTACGACACATACTTCATTCAAAAGCATGATGCTATTGGAGTTTTGGGTCTTATCCCGAAGCAAAAACTTACAGCTGCTTTGCAGATGCTTGCTTATGGGGCATCTGCAGAGCAGGTGGATGAGATTGCAAGGATGGGAAAATCTACTATCTTAGAGTGCTTGGTGAGATTTTGTGATGCAGTGGAAAATTTGTACACGAGGGAGTACCTTCGAAAACCCACGCCGAGGGACCTGCAAAGGCTTCTAAAAAAAGGCGAGGATCGAGGTTTCCCAGGAATGATTGGAAGCATCGATTGCATGCACTGGCAGTGGAAGAATTGTCCTACTGCTTGGCAAGGAGAGTACGGGAATCGGAAGGGGCAAAAAAGTATAATTTTGGAGGCCGTAGCTTCATTCGACACTTGGGTTTGGCATGCCTTCTTCGAGGTTGCTGGATCTCAGAATGACCTCAATGTCCTTGGTCAATCCCCGGTGTTTGATGAGGTATTGCGAGGTCATTCCCCCCAGGTCACGTACCAAATCAACAATACCGTATACTCTGGTGCGTATTACCTTGCTGATGGAATTTATCCTAGGTGGACGACATTTGTGAAAACAATTTCGAATCCCCAATCTGAGAAGGAAAGAAGCTTTGCTTCCTTTCAAGAAGGTTACAGGAAAGACATGGAGAGGTGTTTCGGTATCTTGCAAGCTCGTTGGGCAATTATCAGGGGTGCTGCTCGGATGCTAGATGAGGAGGTGTTGCGGAGTATTATGATGACTTGCATCATCCTCCACAATATGATTGTGGAGGATGAGTATGACTACGATGCTCCAGAGGTATTTGAACCCGATCCCATGAACACGACGTTGACAAGAATATATGAAAGGCCGATGGGACCAAATGGACTACCAATGGAGCCCGAACCGTTACTTCGGGATAGTCAATTCAACAACCCCATGATTGATCGTTATCAAGAAATGCAATCTTCGTATGTTCACGAGAGACGTCAAGTTGACTTGATCGAGCACTTGTGGGAGAGGAAAGGCAATCACAATGGATGAAGTCAAGATTAGTGCTTTGTTTGGAATTATGCTTTATTTTGTGTGTGGTGTTTTTTCGAATTATGCTTGTTTTTATTATTATGCTTTTATGTATGGTTTGTTTTGTGTGTTGTTTGCAATAAATTAA